GTATACGCGAAGACACGGCAAAATATCTTCGAAATTTAGATCCGAATTCAGCTTATTATGATCCTAAAACACGTTCTATGCGTGATAATCCAAACCCACACCAAGCACCAGAAGAGTAAAGCCATGGAAATTATTATTTTTCTTACTATTCCTCTAAGCTAAACTTCATTTACTTTTTACAGAGTGGAGTTTGCTGGGGAAAATTTTGTACGCTTTTCAGGTGACACTACAAAACATGCTACAGCTCAACTGTTCGCTTGGGAAGCGCATGGCAAAGGCGTTGATGTTCACTTGCTTGCTGAGCCCACAAAGTTAGAACTCTTGCAAAAGGAGTACGACAAGAAAAAAGAACAGTTCAAATCTAGTGTAAGTACAAAGCTCACTTAAATACTTAAATTTTGTTCTACATTTTCTACTATATATTTAGACTAAAGACGACATAGTGGAGAAATATGGTGGCGAAGAGCATCTAAAAGCGCCTCCGAAGTCGCTGCTTCTTGCTCAATCAGAAGAGTACATTGAATACTCACGAAGTGGAAAAGTTATTAAAGGCATAGAAAAGCCAAAGGCTCGTAGTATTTACGAAGAGGATGTCATGATTAATAATCATACAACTGTTTGGGGCAGTTATTGGAATGGTGGACGTTGGGGCTACAAGTGTTGCAAGTCCTTTATTAAGGTATTATACGATTTATGTTTAAAAAAAATAATGATTTACATATGCATTTCCACAGAACTCTTACTGCATAGGCATGAAGGATCCAGAAGCGCTCGCTGATTTGCTAAATCCCACTCCGGGCACTAGCGTACCAGATACTGCAATAGCTACAGAAGAGACAAAAGAAGAAAAAGAGAAACAAGCGGAATCGGCATCGTCTTCATCCTCCTCCTCGTCATCGTCATCATCTTCGTCTTCCTCATCATCTTCATCAGAAGACGAAGACGAGACCAAAAAGACGCAGTTAGAAAATAAAAAAGTGAAGAAAAAAATGAAAAACCGTGAAAAGAAACGAAAGTCTAAGAATCAAAGACGGAAGGAGAAAAAAGAAAAAGCAAAGCAAAAAGCACTACGTGCGAAGGAGAAGGCGCATTTGGAAGCTGCTTTGCGTGATATACACGCCAAGTCGGAAGATGAAGACGAGCACAAGGATGAACGTAAACGCGGCTACAACAGCAAATACGACGTTAAGGCACCGACGGAAGATGAAATCGACGAGTGGCAACGTAAGCGGCAGCGCACAGATGATCCTATGATGCAATTTATGTCCAAATAAACGATTAAAGCTAACTTAATTAACTTGTTGATTTTTTTCATTTAATACAAAATTTTATATTTTTATACGTAAGCATATTCTAAATAACTATACAATGGCGTATTGCTCATAAAGCAGTTCCCTAATTTTATAGTATTCCTCTGAAACGCAACCCTCCATAGTCACTTTGCCCGCATCCATGCGCCGCAGAGCTAGCATGCCATTTGCACACCATAATACACCTCCAGAAAACTCTGAACTGATATTGTTGCGCATTAGCACTTGCTTGAAGTCTGATAATTTGAGTTCGTTAATTAACACAGCATTGTGCACAGGTATGTCGTCCGTTTCGAGGGTTTCAAGTGTGAGAGTCTTATCCTCCGATACCTCGACTTCCATGTCACCGTCGTCCGTTGCTCTCGAATCTATAGCTTGCGTACGCACTCCAATACGAGCATCCACCCAGGCCACCTCAGCATCTTTACCCTTTTGGAATTGCAGCTCCGCCACAAGACCTTCCGTCAAACGTACCTGGTAGATATGCGACTCGGTTGTGGCATCAATGGTCTGTTGTGTTAAAAAAAAAAAAATAATAATTTTGAAATTTAGATTGAAGAGAAAACAAACAAAACTTACTTCACCCTTTTGTGGCGTAAAAACTCTTGCTCCAATATTTTGTTGGCAGTGTTTAGCAACAACACTGGTGGCCTCCTCTGAGCCGTGTACTACAATGACACGTCTGGGACGCAATTGCGATAATATCTTAAGCATCGATTCACCATCCGAACGTCCTTCAAAGTCGATTCGCTGAATTTGTGCATTAATTTCGATTGTTTTCCGCTGACTGGTGCATTTGGTGGGTTTCTCCAACAACTGAACATCTATTTGTCGGATATTTTGCTAAGTTTGCTTTTGCATAAAAATATAATTGAATTGCTTATTACCATTTGTGTTCGTTTTACTCTCCTTCGGTTCTTCCTTTTTTATATTTTCCTTATTTTCATCGATCGCAGCTTCAAATCCCAATTCCGAAATGCGGTAATCATCTAAATTGATAATTTCACCATATTCGTCACACTTGATCTTTTCTTCATGGAAGGGAAACATTGCATAGTGCTTTTTGTTCGATTTGAAGAAGCCACTGTGATGACGGCCTTCCGGCCGCACAACTATGTCATGCTTGCCGGTAATAACGCTCATTTCGATGTCATCATCGGAATCCGAGCTACTTTCTTCTTCTACATCTTGCTTAACAATCAAACGGTTTAGCTTTTCACCTTGAGTGCGCAGGTATTCTTCCAACTCAGCACCCTCCAGTTCTACACGTCGACGTACATCAAGTTCCAGTTTTCTGCCCGGTGAAGCATTGTCTACCAAGTCCATTGCTAGTGTACCTTGCGATGTCCTAACGAAAAATTTATATGTTTCTATTTGGTATGCAAATTTGTTAAGAAAAAACTAATTACCTAGATGTAATTATTATACTGTTCAAAGGATTTGCTGCCCATTGCACGAATAATTCACGTGTGAATCCACTTTCCAAATCGGGTGTGCTGGCCAGCACAACTTTTGGGCTGGACATCTTTGCCAGCTCAGCTAAATTATGGCACAGTTGCATGTGACGGAATTGAAAAGGATTATTTCGCGCACCCTCAAATGATTTCATCAGCTTGTCACTCATCCATTCAATTTGGGATTTTGCAAATTCAATTACATTGTAACTGACGTTATTCAACATAGCCAATGAGTAGGCCATCAGACCAGATTCTTTATTTTTCCACAGTTGATCAAGCATATGCGCCAGCTCCAGCACACGCCCTGCTGTATCCACCGCAATCAAAACATTGCCATTGTTGCGCACCGTTTGTAGAATATTTGTCATAAGCTTTTCATCGCGCGCACGACGACGTGCCTGCTGATATTGTGCGTTAAAAGCATCTGTTATAAGTAGTGAAGGCCGCTGGAGGCGCTCCAGTTCACAACCATTTAGGTGACGTTCTTTTTTATGATTGAAATCTGTGGCATATACAATGTCTTCTTCACCCACTTTAAGGATTTTCCAGATAGTGCCACCTATCATATGACCTGCGGGAAGTGGCGTTACGGTAATACCATAGCCTTTACCTAAACAAAACATAAATAGTAATGTTTGTTTCTACATATATATATGTAAAGTATAACTAACCTTTAAGCGAAACTGTTTGATTGTACTTCAGTTGAATGATTTTATCGAATGCGGCGTCCACATCGTCAAGCGAAAATAAATCAAAATCGTACATATTATAATGCGACATATATAAATCGTACATAAACATTTGTCCCATTTTATAAACAGGAATTGTTGCATAGATCGGGCAATTCATGCCAAGTTTGCCGACCAGGTAGGGCAACGCACCCAAGTGATAAACGTCAGGATGGGATAGTAGCACAGCGTCGATAGTGTGCACATGCCTGTCAATTTTTAAAAATATATTATTTATTATTATATTTTTCACTTATTTCTTACCTTTTTAATTCCTTTATAAGGTTGGGATCGAATTTTTCGTCCCAACCGCAATCAAGCAGTATTCGCACTTCGTCAATTTGCAATATATAACAGGGTGGTGTTTCATCCATAGCCCCGGATATTGTATGAAGTTTTATTATAGAAGTCATTTTGTATATAAGCTAGTATTAATTCTTAATTAATGTTTATATTATTTTCTAAACAAATTGTTACTTTATCTGCCTGGCGGTACTTTGTGTGTTTGCTTGTAAGTTTCAAAATATTGCCGTATCTAAGTAAACCTTTAGGCAAGAGCTATTTTACTATTTCTAGATTGTGGCAGCCTTTTGCTATCAGCTGAGATTGCACAGGGGTATTCAAATTAACAAGTATTATATGAAATCTTGACTTTTTGTAAATTATTACGGTCGAATTTTCATTGGTGATCATAATCTTCTTAATTGTTAAAGGAATGGATGATAGCGGTAATCGAAAACAAATTTATATTCGTTTGTTCTCTCTTGCTGTCGACATTTCTCAATTTTTGAAATTATCGAGTTAAACACAACATGTTACTTCTATTAATTCTCAATTATCCTTTTCACAGAACCGAAAGTTTTTTTTGGTTGGTTGATTGCAATATGATTTCAAGTTAGGCCCACCTGAACCCCACGTAATACGCCGCTGGATTTGAAAAATTTTCTTAGTTATTTTCATCCCTACGGCCCAATTTCTTTAATATTGACACATGGACAACCGTGGAAGATATTACGTCGCAACCTATAGACCTAAGGATTTTGGGACTTCGCCAAGGTTATGCTTTAACGTTTTTTATCATCCACCGCAAATGGTCTGCATTCTGTTGATTTACTTACCGATGGTAAGACATCAGGGATAAGTACCTTATTATGGCCCCAACCATTTTAATCAATACTCTGTTTTTTAAAAGTATAAGCTCTTTGGGCTATCCGCTATACAAATTTTTCGGCATCCCCTGTTTTGATGAAGTTACAGAACCTGAAGCGTTTTACCAACATCCACTGATTTAAACAATTTTAGAAGAAGCTGAAGCTTTCGGCAGCTTATAAATACTGTGTTCCCAGCTATCACAAAAACATTAAAAAGAAGCTCAAAGAGTGATTCACAGATATTTTTACAAATATCAATATATTTGTATATCGATTAAGTATAAATTAGTATAAGTGAAAACGATTTATTAAATTTTAAATAAATTAAAAGTTAAAAATAATAAATATGTGCTGCACTTAAAATGAACTTATAGTCAATTGTTAAACCTCAATATCTTCAAAAATACTATGATATAATTTATACCACCCTAAGACTAAAATACAGCATTTCATATTTCAAATTTGCTTATCGAATTGCAGTTATTTTCGACACAAATTTAACAGTTGACCATGTGTTCAGATCTTAAGGCGGCAATGGCTCAAAATCACAAGAATAATTTTCAGCCTTCAAAAAAATCAAATAATCGATTCAGTCGAATAACTTTAGTTCCCTGCTGATCTTCTTAATTTTATTATCCAGAGTTTTGTCTTCCGCTTCACAAATATAGTAATGCCTCGAAGTACACTCCTGTCCATAGTAATTATAAATGTGTTTTGTGGGATTGTAAGATAGGCGCAAGCAACGACCTTGACCCTCAATCTCCACGGTATTGTTTAGGATGGTTTCATTGAGGGAAGGGTCATCTTCGTTCTTATTCTTCTTATCCTTGTCATCGCCATCCACATCGATTGTATTGCTCTCTGTATTATTTGCATGTGACATGGCAATGGATGTGAGATTCATGTTTGGATTGACCGGTTTCGCCGAATTGGACCAAATCCAGAGCAAACCGGGATTCAAACCACCCAACCAGTAGTCGCGTCCACGATGCTGCGGCTGATTGAGTAGGTGAGCCATTATTTCTTCATTCTCTGAACCCCTTTCAAATTCCGCAAGGTGTGAATTCAGCGCCTTACACGCTGAGTTGGCGGTCTTCCAGTTCACCTGCTGGTTGCTATTGATGTAATAACAATTATCACTGATACGTGTAAAATTTGTGGGGCACGGATCACGCACTGAAATTTGGAAAAATATTAGTTTCAAGTAAATTTACAAAACAGGATGTTAGTCACCTTCTTTCTGATTATTTCCCGCCATCAAGTAGTAAATTAATTGTTCAGCTCGTCGTATGCGACTCTCCAAGTAATCTACACGGTAAACGAGTTTCTCTATAGCGCCCAATAGATATAGATCATTTTCTGTCACTGCACGAAATGGTGGCTGCGCTCCGTTGTGTTGGACCGATTGTATGTGGTGCTGTTGCACGGGTACCGGTCGCACCGGCGGTGGTTGTGTTGGTGGTGATTGAGGCTGACTGCTGCCACCTAAGCCGAACAGTTGTTGGAAAAATCCTGGTTGTTGACGCTGTTGTTGTTCCTGCAGTTGTTGCTGTTGTATCATTTGATTTGTCATAGGACGAAATTGTGGATTTACTACATGAACTGGTGGCCTCATGTGTGGTTCCAATTCCACTGCTTCGCCGATACGTTTTGTTATGTAAACATTGGGTCGTTTGTAGACCGAAGAGTGGTAAGAAAGTGGACCAGGTCCTCCGTTTGGTATATTTGGATTCATCATAGACATATCATTTTGACTGGGAATGAATGGTAGATCTTTTGATGTCCGCGCACTTGGACTGGATTGACTGTAAAATATTAAGTAAAAAAGAAAAAATGTTATTCAAGGAATGAAGAAAATTGTTATATTATTAATTTTGTGTAAAATAATGTAACATAGAAAATACAGTAGAGGATATCGTCGCGTCGCCCGCCATTAATGTATGATTCCCATTGATTCCCATTATTAATATTAGGTTGTCAAATATTCGCCTTTTTGTCTTTGAAGAGGTCACTAAACCATTTTAAACCATCTGCAGAAGTCTGGATATGCCTGTGATATACTGCTGAAACGGAACGAACTCGACTCAGTTTTGAAGCCTGGCGACGAAAAATGGATCACATACGACAATATCAACGACCGTGGTCGAAGGCCGTGAAGGTTTTACTGTGTGTTTGGTGGGATTGGAAGAGAATCATCCACTATGAGCTGCTCCCTTATATCCAGATGCTTAATTCTACCATCCACTGAGAACAACTGGACCGCTTGAAACAGGCGATCGACCAGAAGTGCCCAGGATTGCCCAACAGGAAGGGTGTAGTGTTCCACCAGGACAACGCCAGACTATAGACTTCGTTGAAGACTCGTCAGAAGCTATGGGAGCTCGGATGGGAGGTTTTATCGCATCCACCATATAGCTCGGACATAGCGCCAAGTGATTACCACCTGCTCCTGCCCATGGCGAACGCTCTTATTGGTTTAAAGTTGAACTTAAAAGAGGCTTGTGAAAAGTGGCTGTCCGAGTTCTTCGCAAATAAGGAGGTGACTTCTACGAGGAGGGTGTTATGAAATCTCCTTCTAAATGGAATCAGATTTTCGAACAAAACGGCGCGTATTTGAAGCATTGAATAAAGAGCCAAAACCATATTTTACAACCTTATACAAGTGAATTAGACTCGTAGCTATCGCGTAAAGGTCCATCAATGGTCAATTGAATGATATTGAATGATTTCCAATATCCCAAGTGTCGCTTTATCAGATATAGTAGTAATCCAATCAATCACACCATATGTTGGGAGACCTACTGAATGACTTCTCTTTTTTTATTTGTTGAGGGGTAATTATGCCCTTAAATTTTCTATTGTTTGTGTTGGTTATTTTAACTGTTCTTATTTAAAGAATTGTTATTGGCATAGATTCTGATTCGATGACTCCAGGAAACAATATCTAGTTTTTTACTAATCTTACTTCTCAATACAATTTACACCTCGGCAACTCAGTTTTTCATTGTGATAAAATATTTCAAGACAATGCATTTCGCATTTGGTAGGACTATCATTAATTAGTTATTATGCCAAATACGAGCGCTATCTGTCAACCAGTTTGTTTAAAGCAGCTGATTAAGTCGGCATACCTCAGTAGTGCGTTGCGATTTTTACAATTCTTAAAAATATTGAACAAAGAACTTTATATTTCTAATAAAATTTCGTGTGCGGAATCGTTTTGAATGTTGGAAAAGGCTTAACAAAACCACAAACCTACGAGTGGTACAAAGTCTTCAACGATGGTGAAGTCGTCGTTGAAGACATGCCTCGTTCTGGACGACCTTCGACATCTTCAACTGAAGAGAGAATTAAAAGAGTCAGAAATATGGTGTTTGAAATAAATAAATATCATCGATCAACTACCGTATTCACCAGATTTGGCTCCGTGTGATTTTTTCTTGTTCTTCAAACTGAAATTGTCGCTCCGTCGATCGAAAAGAGAAAACAAATTTCACTGAAGAAATTCCTAAAACGTGCTTATAAAAATTGTTTCGAGGACTGGAAAAGCTGTTGACATAAGTACATTACATCTTGTGGATATCACTTTGAAGACGACAAAATAAATATTGATGAATAATTAAATATTTTGCGTTTTATTGACAATTGCCGGGTACTTTTTTGTTATAATAAATATAAAGGACTGACATCTTTAATTCAAACATGTGACAGCTGCTTTGCTTTTTAACTTGCAACGTTCTCTGATATAGCTTGCAACTTTAATTGTATATCAACAAACTAAACTATACTGAAATACAGCTTATTGAAAGTAGATATATTACCAACTCTTGAGACAATTACTGAGAAAATACTTCTTTTAAGATGATATTGAGAAAGAGGCTTTCCTAGCAGCAAAGGGAAAACGAGAGTATTTTTGACATCTTGGATGACTCAAACCTTCTAGAACACTTTACTTGTCGAATGGCATGGAGATACATATATATCAAAACGAATATCAATTACTAATAATACAAAATAAATAGTTTTGTTCACCTAACGGTTGTAAATATCACCTAAAACTAATCCAGATACGCCGCGACATCGTAGGCAAAAAATTGTGAAAAGGTGGGCGTGGCACGCCCTCCAATAAGTTTAATGTATATAGCTCTGAAATCACTTAAAATAAACTAAATTCGCCTATGGCATATATGATGAAAACTTCTACCGACTATTATAGTGTGAAAATGGGCGAAATAGAACTACCACCTCTCCTACTTCTCATACAATTATTATTATGAAATAAAACTTTGCACGAACAATGCCTTATGACCGAAAATTGTCCTAATCCAATGAAAACTTTTCAATCCCATAGATACCGAATATTTGGCCCTTGTATCTATAGTTGACTTTTGACTGAACATATACAAGTCATTGTGTGAGATACATAATTGATATTTAGGAATAATATTTTCCCAAAAATGGTATGCTTTTGTGTCAAGAATAGTTTGAGTCGGGTCAATACTTCCCTTAGCTCACATATACCTCATACAACAATTACCGAACTTCCAGGTATCTGACAACGTCGTACCTAAAAGGGGTAAAATTGGGACAAAACTTGACCTAACTAGGCATCATATAACAAACATATAACATGCGGGTGGTTCTATGGAAACATTTTATTAGTATTTGGCATATCCATGGTGTGTAGTGTTGATGAAAATTGATAAAATCGGGTAGATATCACCACTATAATTGCTTGAATTCCGATCCTCTGGTTGGCGTTTTGTACCTTAAGGTATTGTAAGTTGCAAGAGTATAAAATGCTTGGCTGCAACCGAACTAAGCCCTTCTTTACTTGTTGGTCATAAATTATAAAATATTAATATTAAATTGTCCAGTCTGGAGAAAGCAGAACTAACGGCGCGGGTGTTGAGGCCAATGATATCGATATCATCGGCATACGCCAGCAGCTGAACACTTTTAGAAAAGATTGTATCTGAGTGATTAAGTTCTACAGCTCGAATTATTTTCTCCAGTAGCAAATTGAAGACGTCGCACGATAGGGAGTCGCCTTTTCTGAAACCTTGTTTATGACGACGCTTTTGGTGTTGTTCAACGTCAGTCTACACCGCCGTATTAGTTTTGCGTGGATACCAAATTCAGACATCGCGGAAAGGTAGCCCCTTTTAGTGCTGTCGAAAGCAGCTTCGAAATCGACGAAGCGGTGGTGTGTGCCGATGCTCTTTTCGATCCGGATACAGCCAAGTGGCATGATGAATTTCTTATGCTGGAATTTTGTACTACAGATAGCCATATTTCGGGCAACGGCGAAATCTATTAGCCTCAACTCATTTGGGGATGTTTCATCGATATGTTGGAGAACTTCGCTTTAATGCGGGCAGTACTCGTTAACGGAGTCTCTATCCCACCACGAATCCAGCATTAAATTTTCGCTCCTTTATATAGCCACTGTAGTAAATGCCACAAGGACTTCAGTCATTGTCCCGTCCATCGCATTTCTTGGACGGTGGCGATGTCAGCCTTCACTCTAAATTGCTAAACCAAAAAAAACCCGAAAACTTAGTTAGTTCGTATCGCCCCATAAGTCTACTGGTCGCTTTCTCAAAGATATTCGAAAGAATTCTCTTACGAAGACTGATACCGGTATTGGAAAATTTAAATATAATTCCGGACCAACAGTACGGGTTTCGCAGACACCACGGAACTCCTGAACAATGCCATAGAGTGTTTAATAAAATAAGGTCAG